CCCCAAAACCCCAAAACCCCAAAACCCCAAAACCCCAAAACCCCGAGATTTTAATTTAGCAAATATTTCAAGAAATTAAGTTTAAAATTAAATTCATTGAGCAAGACAAATAAGACTTCACTTGATTGTTGACAATATAATTGGAACATTAATCTCATTGAAAAACGTTTTTGGCACTTTCTTCTCATAATGGATAGGCTTTTTGAACTTAAAACTTAACTCAGGATTATAGGAGAAATAATCTTGGCAACATTCTCAGCGAAGGTTTTACCCAGGCATATTCTTTTGCCTCCAAAGAAAGGACTAAAGCTATTTGGTTTTCTTTTCTTGCCATCTGGAGTGAGGTAAAATGGACTCTCTGGATCAAATCTCTCAGGTATAAACTTATCAGGCTATTACCATTCCTTTGGGTTTCTTTACAAGAAGTAGAAATGGATTTAAAAGGTGATATTGGTATCTATATCTATACCGCAAATATTCTGCTTTTCACTTAATTAAAGAGGTGTTGAAGCTCTAACTGGCGGTTCTATTCTTAAAGTTTCTTATATTAGCAAATATAGATATTTCCAGTCATCTTAAAGCTTATCATATCCTAATTTTTCAATCCAAAGCTCTTACGTCATATCAATTTAATCAATTTTGAGAAGCTTTTCTCTGTCTGGACTTAGCATAGTACATATCTCATCAACCAGCTTTTATCTCACATTTGGAACAAATTCAAGATAATACATAAGATTTGTTATGGTAGCTGCCGTAGTCTATGTTGATGCAAACAGGAATGTAGTTATTTCATCTTTAATCAAATTGTCATCCTCTCTGTATAAATCATCAGTCAATAGCAATGTAAGAAAATCAGCTCCATCAAAATTAGGATCTTTCATTGCTTATCTTCTCTCGTAAATGAGCTCCGAGAGCATGTTCCTATAGTTGATTATATTTTTGTGAATATTTTTTTCATCTTCACCAATATACCATGTGTCTAAGCTATGGGTGAATAGTCTAAACACTCTAAAAGGTTTCCTAGAAAGTTTAATGAAAATTCTAGAAACTATCACAGTAAGAGATGCATCCTCTGTATTATCTCCTTCTATGATATATTTCAAAAATTTCTTGTGTTTAGTCTCTCCAAATACACTAGTAAGAATACAATCTAGCAAGTGCTCACCAATCATAGATCCAAGCTCTCTTTCATTTTTCCCCTATTTAATATCCTATTTTATTCCTTATACCCAATTAAATGTCTATTTGATGATTATGTTTAAGTTTTAAGTCATCTTTTCCTTGTAGAATGCTGTAGATAGCCTTTTTCTTCTCATTGCTTGAACTTCAGTGGTTCTATCAAATAAAATGGATTCACCGAACAAATCATGCTAGAATTTTTTCCCTCTGTGATATTTGTCTACATATTTAGCCTTTGTCACATAAATTTCTTAAACCATTTCAGGGTCACTTATTATGAGTTGGCCTTCCCCAGTTCTAAAGTCGATGAAAACGCTAGGTATTGGTTTATCCTTATATATGAAGTTGTAGTATTCAACAAGTTAGGAATCTGAATATTCAGTAAACCCAGCGATAACTCTTTATAAGGTGAAAATATCTCCAAGAATAGGCCATGGAATTCTTGGGCAATGTAAACATTGTCTGGTATAGTACCACATAGTATAGTAAAGCTTGAAAACTTTCTCATAAAGGAAGTAGAGAACACTCAATAAAACAAGCAGAGATATTATCATAGACTTTGCTATTGCTTAACCTGACTTTTTTTAATTATATATACGTCAATTTAAGCTACTCTTAATATCTAAATATGAATTCGATGAATTTTACAATAAAGCAGATTCTTGGGGTTTTGGGGTTTTGGGG